TCCAACTGTTTTACACTCTTCTTCCCAAAATCATATTCTATCATTTTTCTTTAATAAAACACTTATACATGTCAATTATTCGATGCACCTTTCTAACACACAAATTTCACTTTTCAAATCACACATCCATACCTTTACTTTTTTATATATACACCGTTTAACCTTTCAAACACTATACAATTTCAACTTTTCAACACATTACAATAGCCACTTTATTGAACATTATCATATACATATCACTTTTCAAAGATCACATGGGACTTACCTTTCAGGAAGTGAGTGACGAGAGTGCGAGTGCTTTTTCATTCTCACATGATATCTCTTCAATATACACTTCTTCCATCAAAACATTTCTTCAATACATATACACCATACCAAACTTCACCTTTTAAACCACACATATTTTTTACCATTCAGCAGAGACACATTTTAATATCCTCCTTTTAAACAAGTTATCAAATCGCGTGCCAAACACCCCTTACATCTTTTTAAACTTTCTTAATTCCTTCACACATAAAAAATGCTATCATGATTTTCTTTCCCAATTTATGAACAAAGCCACTCATGTTCCTAATTTTCAATTTCAAATAAGAACAAAGCCTATCACATGTTCTCCACTCCTACAATTAAACTTATAAATTTCCATTATTCTATTCTACAAACATGACAACTCAAAACCTCTCAAGCAAAATAACAATGTAAGATATAAAATGATTATTAAAAAAAAAATGTACCATTCAAATTTTTAAAGAAGAAGAAAAATATGATTTCAACATAAAATTTTTTATCTGAATTTCATAATTAACAAAAAACAAAATATGAGATTTCAAAAATTTGATTCATAATTGAGAAATAAGAACCATTTCAACGAAGCAAGAGTATTAAAATAAAAAAAGTAAGAGAAATAATTAGAGGGAAGAAGAGAATATGTAGAGGATATACCCAATGACTTTAGAGATTACTGGCGATGCATACTGCGTGTAGGAGCGACGAATGGGGGCTTCGTGTGGAGAGGAGGCTGGATTTTCGTGTAACTTCAAGAGGAAAGGAGAAAGTGCGGCTGTTCCATGTATGTAGTTCATGAAGATGTGAAAGCGTCTTGGAGTTATGTATTAAGAGGAATGGATAGAGGTGGTTCTGGGTTGAAGGAGGCGAGGAGGGAGAGTCCGGGTGTTATGTATGAGAAGACTGAAAGGCTAATGGGATAGTGTAATTGTAAAAAAAGTATGATTTTTTGATAGGAGGGAGGGGCGCTTGACTTTGTTTGTAGGGAGGATGGGGATCGTTTTGTGGTATCGGGGTGAAGGGATGGTAGGGTAGGGCTGAGGGAGGGAGAAGTGGGGGTATTGGTGTTGCCCTGAACCCTTTTGATTGTGGACCGTTCCGTTGAACCCATTGTTAACACGGCCAGTGTAATGATTGTTTGGGAATTGCTGATCTTTAGACTCATTGGATTCGTCTCATCAGCCGTTCGATGCCTCCGAGTATCAGGTTCAGCTCGTTCAAAATCTGACGCGTACCGTTTGGTAAACTCCAAAAACTATACGACGTGTTTGAAACTTTCAAAACAGCGCTTGAGCCCTTGATCGGATTCATTTGGGGCTCTGATTTGGTTGATCTTGTGTGCGTTGGGTTTCTATAATCCTGCAGATGCTTGTTCGACTCTGTAAGTTTGTGGAATATCAGAGTTCGGATGGCCTCTAATTTATAATTTCGAAGGTTTTCAAACTCTTGATTTTGCATCAAATATTTGTGCCCGATTAAATAACGTTTTTGACGACGTATCATTATTAATTATATATATACTTGTGACGGAGTCAATGTTAATCGTAGGCCATTATGAAATCGAATATCAATTTGAGTTAATTTTGATTTGATTTTGATTTGATTGGTGAGTTAATTTTGAGCTTAATGAATGATCATTTGATCGAAATAAATTAGATAGTCGATCCTGAAACATCAACCGATCATAAATGAGCTTGATTTGAGTTCGTTTTGAGTTGAATTGAAAATGGATTGGAATGATTTGATTCGAGATTGAGGTGATAGGACTTCGAGGTCGATGCACGCTTTCATTGAGGCGTCAATCTCCTTCACAGAGAAATCCTAATACGAGGTGCGACATCTACACTAGGCTAACGATAAAACCTACGTACTTAGAGGTCGATTCATCCTGCGTTCCAGGAAAATTGACCTCGAATAATGAGGTCAACAATGGGTAGGGTTTAGGTTCAATGTATTCCAAATGTGATTTTGAAATTATTAGAGGTGATTGCATGGATTGGTGTGGTATCCATGAATGAAATGTAGGTTTAAAGGCTTAAAGTGCATTTTGGTCAACTAGGGTTGACTATGGGTTGCATTTAGGTTCAATGCATCCCAAATGATAGTAACGATATGTTAAAGGGGTTTTAGAATTTGGTTTGACTGAGCTATATTAAAGTTTTAGTAAAATTCAATTTAAGGAGATTTTAGGGTTTTTAAGGGTTTTAGGGTTTACGTGGCTTTATGGTTAACCATGGTCAACCAAGGTCCCCCAAGGGTTCAATATGTCATGCTAATGATAAGGATCATGCTTTATGGATCTGAGAAATCTTTCAAGGCCAATTTCCACATGATGACATATCTAGTGACACGCAAGGCGGAGAAGCCTGTACAAAATCACTTTCACCTTCCCCGGTGCAGCGGAGTAGCCGGGTTCTTTGACACCAAAGAGATCTTCTTCTCGCCAAAACTTCCCTCAAGATGACCCTTGAATCCAATGGTACTGATGTGCAAGTTCGCCGGAGCAACCAAGTGAATATCCCCTCCACACTCCCTTGAAATCCCCTCCAAAGATCTTCTCCCTCTAAAACTCCACCCTTTCCTCTCTCCCTTTAAAGTTCTCTCTTCTAGTTTTCTCCCAAAGAACGAAGACACAATGACTGTCAAAGATACACTTTATCGTCCTTTTACACTCTCCAAGTGTCGGCAGAGAACCGGACCTATGTTGTTGAACATCACTTGAGAGCCTTCGGAGGAGATGGGCAGAAACAAAGAGATCTTCTATCAATCTCTACTTGTGATTTGAGATTACTTCACTCTTTTCTTTCTTCCTTCTAGAATTCTTGTGAGAATATCTGTCAAGGAGATACGGTTCTTTGCCGACACTTGGAGAGTGTAAACAGCCGCGGGTTCTCTGCCCTCACTAGGAGAGTGTGAAAGGACGAAGGGTTCTCTGTCCACACTAGGAGTGTGCGAACAGCCAAAGGGTTCTCTACCCACACTAGGAGAGTGTGAAAGGACGGACGGTTCTCTGCCAATAATGGGGATAAATGTAAAAGGAAGACGGTTCTCTGCCACACCAGGTAGTGGTGAAAAGAGTTTTGGTAAAGGCTTCTCCGCCTTGCTGTGGGGGCTAAAGGAGAGTCACTAGTTGTATTAGTGCAATACTCAGAGGGTGCCTCCGGGGAGTGGATGTAGGTCTAGTTTTGATCGAACCACTATAAGGTGTTCTTTACTTTTCTGTTTTTTATTTTGTTTATCATTTACAACTTGTGGTTGATAAATTATTTTCTAAAAATTCACTATTAATTAAGTTTTAATTTCCAAAGTTCAAAAAAGAGGGTTCAAATTTTTAAATACCAATTCACCCCCTCTCTTGGTTGGCCACTGGGACATAAGCTTAAGTTTAACTACCAAATTCATTGTGAACGAATCTCAACAGAAAGGACAATAGCCAACGAGCAACAAATGTTAGAAAGACTATAGTTGGTGGGCGACGTAGGTTGGAATGATCGTATTTGGCTGGCGAATGAGGTTAGAAGGATTGTAGTCGGTGGGCGATGGAGGTCATAAAGACTGTTGTCTAACGACAGAGGTCAGAAGGACAATGTCAGGTAGAAGTCCAGTGATGGACATAAGTCTTGCGTCAGATAGAAGTTCGATGAATACCCAGCGATGGACATAAATCCGACATCGGTAGGCTGCCGGCTGAAAGTCCAGCGGTGGTCAAGGAGGAGCTTCTTCCCTCCTTCTCTTCTTCTCCTCTACTCTCTTCTTGCTTAGTTCCCCTCTTAAGAGCCATGAGGGTCTATTTATAATTTTTTGAGGATGGCATGACCAGTAAATAGAAAGAATATCGGGGGTAAATGGGGAGTGGTTTGAATGGCTGCCGATGTTGAATCCCTTGATCGTGGACCGTTTATTAGGCATTTAAATGCCTTGATGGTGTTGGAATTCCGTGATCTTGGGCTTGCTGGATTTGCCTCATCGAGCTGCTCGATTCGACTATAAGTTTGTCACGTTTGGAAATTGTTTGGTAATCCATGTTGTGGTTTGAACCTTCCAACAGTGCTTTGGGTCCTTGATTCAGACCCATTTGGGCTCGGATTGAGTCGAATTTGGTGTCGTTGGGTTCATATTTCCAAAATGCTCGGTTCGACTATAAGTTTGCTAAAATCAGAGTTCAAATGATCCCGAATTTAATTTTTGAAGTTCCCAACTTTATTTTGCTTCGAGATTCGTGCCTGATAAAGATAATTTTTTGATGATATAACAACATATTACTTAATCCCAACAAGAATCATTAAAATTTTGATTTTTTTTAATCAAGTTACCAAAATTTGATCCTCATCTCATAATAAGATTTTAATTTTTTTAAAGAATAATTATAACGTTCTAATTTTTTTATTTATTAAATTAATAACTAGTTATCTCTATTTTAAAACCATTTAGCTAAATATCACAATGTGCCCCACTCTTATTTTTTAATTTTGTCAAATTTTCAACTATTTAGATGTGGCACACTTAAATAGAGAAGTTTGATAATTAAAAAAAAAAAAATTACAATTTTTATAAATAGATTATATTTCAAAGCTACGTGCGTTTACTTTCACAATTTTAAAACTAATTTTTGAGAAGAGTAACAACGCATAATATTTATTTTATTGAAAATGTACTGGAGTTATATGGAGAATATTCTTTGAACCTTCTCCCTTATTCTTTGGTCAAGCTTCGCAGCCGTTACAAACCTTCGGATTCGGACCCTTTTAATGTGAAACCCGATACCCTCTTTCTGCTTCCCTTAGTCGAATACCTCGATAAGATTCTTCGAGGTTCGGGAATATTCCGATGAAGTTGGAGACTGGAAAGCAGGGGACGTCGCCGGAGATGGAGGAGTACGATGACGAAGACGATGATGAGGTCATCGACAAGTCTTGTTATTCGCCTCCGATGATTTTCGGACCGGCGAGGGAGGGCGGCGAGGATCTCTTCGTGCCGCCGCTTAACTTTGCGATGGTGGACAACGGCGTATTCCGCTCGGGATTCCCGGACGTGGCCAATTTCAGCTTCTTGCAGACACTCAAGATCCGCAGCGTTCTGTAAGTGGCTGGTGGTTTGTTCTTGGAATCGAGTGGGCATTGTTCGATTTTATTGTTTTAATTGGTTTTGGGTTTTGTTTGTTTGTTTACATGGAGAAGTTTCAGATGCTTGTGTCCTGAGCCGTATCCAGAGGCGAATTGGGAGTTCCTGAGGTCGAATGGAATCAGATTGTTCCAGCTTGGGATTGAAGGAGGCAAGGTATTGTTGGTTAAGTCGTTAATAGGATGAATTGTGACATTGGGGATGGTTCTTTATGATGAATTGCTTATGTTACTTTTGATAACTTAATTAGCGTTGCTCAGATATGATTTATGGTTGCTGGTATTAAGTGCTTTAAGATATTAGTACCTTTTATAAGGGGAATTCTTATTCTGCGTTCATAGCTGTGAGATTAGAATACCGAACCGGCCTTTTCTTGTGAAAGGCGCATGGTGATACTCATCTTGTTTTTTATTCTGTTGTATGGATATATGGGATTAATTAAGCCAATATAGTTGATGCAAGACACATATGAGATTACGATTTAGATAAGGATTCTGCACGCTTAATGATTAAGAGCAAGTTAATTAAATCTTTATGGTGATTTATATAATGAAATAAAACATAAAGAGCGGTAAACACAAGCTTAGATCAAGTTACTTTCGAAAAGTTAAAATCACATAACAACCAATTACTCTTGACATTACATATGAGATGGGTTTCAATAAGAAATCTCTAATCTAACAATAAGAGTAGTGCTATGAAAGATCTCTCACACAATTCCTACTAAACACTAAGCTCTAGCGGAGCGTTGCAATATTTTGCATGAATCAATCAAAACCACAAGGATCAACGAGAAAGGTATGAGAGAAGGAAAGAGTTCACCCTTTGCTAAGATTCAACTTTCTCGCAAGGGCTGCAGGAACCTTTGTATTGCGCACGTCAACGTCCGAAAAACCTCGTGCAGAAGTTGAAGCCTTTTCCAAACAGTTGGACATCAAGGAGGGCAGTTAGAATCCCTGGACAACAACCTTATAACTCGAAAAATCTGAACAACAACAATAGGAAGGCTTTAGACAGCAGTCAGAGGGTTTATGGCAGCAAAACTGTTGATTTCCCTTTGCTGGAGTTGATGAATAGCAAGCTGAAAATCTGGAATTTCCTAGATAGGATATAGATTGTGCCTGGAAATTTGGATAGCACATAGAAATCCAGTAGAGGAAGAAAACCAAGAGGTGGAAGGCTTGGGGAAGACAGCTAGGGCTGAGGGGAATTAGGGGGTTGATTGGGGAATTAATTTTAGGGAAATTAATGGGATAGGTGGGAGGTAGGGGCCGGCCATGTAGGGGAATTAATTGGGGTTTGATTGAGGGAGCTTTAGTGGAAAGATTTGATTAAGGGAGAGAGAGGATGGGGAGGCCAAAGAAGGAGAGGAGAGGGTGTCTAGGTTTGATGTATGAGTAATTGGAATTAGATCCAATTAAATTCAGCTTGAGGGAGAATTGAAGGGGGTTTCCTAACAGGGGTTTATTAATTTGGGGAAGCTTTTGATTTCAAATATTATTTAAATTCAAATTCAAAAAATTTCCAAATTAACAACAAGTTATTTTAGGAAAGTAATTAATGGAAATCTGAATTTTGAAATTCAAATTCATGGAGCCAAATGGAGGCGAGGCCGGCGGTTGGGGAGTTTTGGGGAGGCCGGCTGGTTTTGAGTGGTTGAAGAATGGTGGGCGGCGGTATGGGGGTTTGAAGGCTAGGTTTAGGAAGAGTTGGGAGGAAGGGGTAAAAAAAGAAAAAAAAAATAGGAGAAGTGGCGGGTTATGGAGGACAATGGGAGAAAGAAAAGAGGATAACCACGAGCTTGGACTTCTTCCGCGGCTGGTGGGTATTGTGCAACCCTCTCCTAGGGATTTCACCAAAGAAAATGTAGTTTATAACTTATTTGGCCTTCATAAAGAAAAAATGGAATATCCCTATTTAGTATATTGAAAATGTTGGGGGAAAAGTGTAAACAGAAGCCTTGTTTTTAATGGAGCTAGATTATTCAATGTTTCTCAGGAATGTTAAAGTAAAAAAGGATTTGCTTATAGAAAGTTTATGCAGCTTATGTTTGAATTACTTCTACTTCACCTGCATTGATATGGTGTAAGCCTATCTTGTGAAACAATTTTAAAGTTCTACTTAAAGAGCAGCCAGACCTATTCTTACTCCACATCTTTCAATTAGCTAGGTGTTGATCACCAATTAGCATACTAGTATTAGCGTTCTATTGCAAGTGAGAACACGCAAAATTATTTTCTAGAATGTCTCTAATTTATAATAGCAGATATATATTTTCTTAAGATGATTTTATCCATATTTTTCCTTTTGAAATCCTGCTTTATCATCCACAAAATCCTGTCGTATTTCATGTTTTTTTCATCCAAAGTTCACTAAATTTAGAGCAACAATGGTTTTGTCCATTCACTTTTTTAATATTCGACACAGGCATTAAGTGGATTGCCAGTCTTATAAATTTTGTGTGCTTTTTATCTCTTTTATCTTTTGACGGCATGTAAGTTACCTTTCTTACATTATCACATGTGTCCTTTAGTTGTATCCTTTGCATCGTAGCATTTTACAAATGACAATATGTAAACACTATTTTGTTCTTGTCACTGCTTATTGCTAACACAAAGGTGTTTAAGAATCAATATCTAGTTATGGTAAATGACAGTTGGGATTCTGATTGTGTTGCTTCTTCTAATTCATCTTTATCATCATTATCACCATCATCATCATTATTATTAGGAGCATTATCCCAACTATTCAATGTTGTATTTATCAACCCTCTCTTTCCATTCATTTGCATGTAGTATTACATGAGATGTTTAGGTTAGTTTATGCAGATCTTTTTTCCCAACATCTTGTCATGTTACCCTTGTTCTATGCTTTTTTTTTTCCATAACTTTTACTTTAATTTTACTCAATTGCCTTTTGTTTTTCGTTTACATGACAAATCAGATCTAATTCTATTTTTTCATGAGCTTGACCTCAACAACTACTTTGCACAATTTCTAACTATACCTTTTGTCCCACCCTTTTTAATTGCTCTTTCTTTCTCATTGATTTAATTCCGCTTCCCTTATTCGTACGACTTTTGCTCTTGTACATGTCCAAAACCAATTTAATCAATTTTCTGTAAACTTATTTTTGAAAGTTTTTATTCCCATATACTCTCCAACATTAAGCATTAAAAGTTTAAAACTTCTTTACTTTATTATTATTATTATTATATTTTCCCATCCATCTTAGATTTTGAGTATTATTGCACTCAACTTAATTGTTATTTTTATGTTACCGAACAAAAAAATTCACATATATTAGTTTGTGTTATTATGGTTTTATAAAATTTTCTTTTAATACATATAGATATTCTCTCAGCATTTAGAATCTGGAGACTTCTTCAATTGAAGAACTCAAATTTATCCTCATTTATCTCTTTTTCTTTGCATTGGGAATCAAAGATATCAAAGACATTATAATTAAGTATCACAAAAAATTCCAATACCGTTTATTCATTGTCACTAATTTAAATTTCAACTAAGATAACAATCGCATTCTAAGCCTTTGTTCTACTAATACCAAACCATTTCTACTAAACCTAATGAAAAACTTAAAATAGTTTTCCAAATAATAATATAGGATCTATTTAATAAAAAATTATCACATTTCTCCAATTTAGTCCCTCAACTATACAAAATTAATTTGAAATGGTATCTAAGGTAGAAATTGATATAATGGGGCTATAAAAATTATCCCAAATTTGCCCCTCAATCATACAAAATTGATCTTAATTTAGTTTGGGATTAATTTTGTATAGGATTGTTTGGGATTAATTTTCTGTAAATTTTTTATTCCCAAACTAATTTAAACATACAAAATTAATATGATTGTTTGGGATTAATTTTGTATAATCAAAGGACTAAATTGAATAAATGTGATACTATAAGATTAAATTGGCTGCATACAAATAGTTAGGGGACTATTTGGGCTATTTCTCTTAAAAAACTAACACCAATGTATATGCATATATGATTATCATTGTCTGTTTTAATTAGTTGGCAAAATGATTGTTACATACTGTTGCATTTTTCGTTTATGCCAATTATATTACAGTAAATGCTTTCCATAAAAAATTATAATAAGAAGATCGATTTCTAGCCAGGTACGTTACAGGACGCGTTATCTGATATAGACCATGATAAAGTTGAATCCTTCAATTCACCTAGTTGAAGGTCAATAATATTGGACCTCAGAACACCTTATACGTGATTGGGCCAGAGCATTTTCAACCTTAAATCAGCTCAGGCCAATGCAACTTGAAATTAATATAGGAAAACAAATTATTCTTTGTTCGTTCTATTAAATTATTACACTTCTAATTTTTTCTGTAAATTGTATAACAAATGTAGAGGATTTCTTTTTGTTATTTTATTATTATGGAATAAGCAAATTTTTTTAGCACTGCCCTAGCCTCTCCAAAACATTTAGAAAGGGTAAAAAGCTTTCACTGAATTATTTCCTTTGATTTATAGTTTCAACAACTTTGTGTTGGGGAAGAAGCTGAGTGAATTTTGTTTATAAGTTTTAAGTTAGGCATATTTAATATGATTAAATCCCTATCATCTTTAACCTTAGCCCAACTTTTGGGATAAACTTTATGAATTTTGTCATCTGCAAAGCGCTTATATTAAAGGTATTTATTGTGAATATTCCTTGTAAGCTTCTCCATAACATAAAAAGGTGTGGATTCAATAATGATTTCGAATATAATCCTATTTGTAACTTAAATATTTAATCACTACATAACTACTAATAGTAATTAATGGTTTATCATACATCACTTCTATGTATATCTCTTTTTTCAATGCACACCAAATCAATTCTCTTAATACTTGATCATATGCCTTTTAAAGATAATAAAAATTGTGTGAAGATCCTTTCTCCACTCTCTATACATTTTTATTAAATTGCTATAACACAAAAACTCACATCTATTGTGGTTCTTCTTGGTATGAAACCCAAATTGTCTTCTATAACCTACACTTCTTCTAGCTTATGTTCCCATTATCTCTCTTGCAACATCTTTGGTTGGCCCTAGCTTAGATTCCTTTATAATATCTTAACTTTGAAGATCTTTAATTCTTAAAAGTGATTAAATATTTAATAAAATATTATAAATGTGGTAGATATCTTTGGTTACTTGTAGTCATTAGAATCAGTTGGTGTATTTTGCATTATTGATATGAACTATAGATTAAGATGTTGGTGAGACTTGCAATGCTTTAAAGTGATGAATGTTGGTTGCTAAAAGAGAAGTATAAAATTAAGTATTGTAGAGATGAGGATGCTCATGTGGATGAGTGAATTTACTCTTAGAGATAAAATTCTTAATGAATATATACGTGAAAAAGTTAAGTAGCTCCAATGGTAGATTAGATTAGAGAGAGTCGTCTTTGATGATCTAGTCACATAAAAC